GATGAAATCCAAGTGTAAGCTGCCCTCTGAACAGGCTGTAGAGCTTCTCTTGCAGGGAGGATAATACAAGTGAGGTAATGGCTGTGGATGCTTTTGAAGAGGAAAAACCTCTTGCATTTATTTTTCTGAAGTAGTTTGTAAAATAGTTGGATTTGGCTCAAAACCAGCTCCCAGCCAAGCCTGATGTCTCTTGAACTCTTGCTCCCAGTGAGGCTTCAGGTTCAGGACTGGATTTGCTCTGAAAGCCTTCACTGCACTGAGTTCTTAGGACATTCTGCAGGACAAGACTATCCCAACAGATTAAGTGGCACTACTGTTGGAATAAAAGTTGCATTCACCCAGTGGAACTCAGGGTTCTGGAAGACTTCCAGCACTGTATGGAAATCCACGTGTTTGGAACCACCACTGCCACTCTTTTCAGCCCAGTTTGTTAAGGTGAACTGCAAATCAATCACTCTGTTCTAACCCCAGTGAAAACAAGACTGGCTGAGTCACAGGAAGATCCCAGACTCTGCCTGAGAGGGAGCTCTACTCAGTCTAAGGGAAACATAGAGAAATATGAGAATTTCTCCTGTCTGATTCTAATAAAGGGCTGCTGGCTGCCTGGGAAGAGCTGGAAAATTCACTGACAGACCAATAGCCCTCACTTGCTGTCTGCTAATTAAAACCCCAGTGGCACAGTGTGCTGCTTTGGAGAGGCAGCACCTTTTCCAACAGCTGAACACCTCCTGCAATCCATAAGAAATAAAAAGATATGTCAGTCTTAATACTGACATGCACAGTCCTAGGTTAGACTAATTTAAACGTGGTACTTTACCTCTGTTTTTTGAGGCTGCTTTTTCTTGTCAGTGAGAACTTTGCATGGAGGGAAAAACCCAACAGATTATTTCACAGCTAATGCCTCACTCTTTTATTCTACTTCAACTGGTACAAATCAGGAGTTATTCTGTACAAGTCAGTGGAAAATGATATGTTTAAATTGAAATAACATAGTCCTCTACTGTCTTCTTGTAGCACATTTAAGAAGCAATAATTGATTATCTGATGCCTTTTGTGCTGTATAGGGAAGTGTTGTGGTCCTGAAAAGTTTTGCACACTGTCAGTGACAGACACAGGACTGGCTGGACAGGAGTTTTCAGACTAATTATAGAAACTCGCTTCTTTGAGAATAGAAACTTAAGGAAACTGATGTGTGAAGGACAACTCAGTTGTACTAGTACAGCCAAAGGAATAACAAAACTCATGAAAAAACCCCAACATCCTGAAGTCCTGAAGCTTTTGTTCAGGTAAAAATTCCACTGACCTAGGAAAGATCTAAAATTATGCATTGGCGTGCCAATGAAGAGAACATGTCACTAAGAAAACTAAAGCATGTAAGTGCCTAGCTGAGCTGGGGAGCATTACTCACACTCACTAACATGCTGCAATTGTCCGTGTATGAAGAAAAGAGACCACCCTGTATTCATCTGAGCAGAGCACCAATTACTGCAGAGCAGCCGTCTAACTTTATATCCTGGTTCTGTGGGTTTTGTTTTGTTTCTATGACATAATGTGGCCCAGCCTAATCCTAGAAACAGAGAAAAAACTGCTTGTATTTTGCTATGTTTCAGTAAAAGCAGAAGTATTATCCACCATAAGGAGAAGATCATCTTAATATCTGTTTTTAAACTCCTAAAAGCTTCAGATAAAAAGAGCTTGAGCTAACCTACATTTTTACTGCACTTTATTTATAAACAGAATGCTTTGTCATCAGATATATTTAACCTCAGATGTAAGAATACAGTTGCCTCAAAACAAGGCATAAGGGGATAGATGCAAGTGAAGGCTCCATTCAGTAAGATGAATTCATAATTCGAATGAAGCCTAGGAAAAAAACCCAACTAGTCTAGCAAAGAAAATTATTCAAATACTTTTTTTCCTGGCATAAAAAAAAAGGATTAATTTGCATGGAACGTCAAGCAGGAAAAGCTACTAAAAAACCGAAACCTCTGTAGCCCTGAATTTGCTAGGGCTCCCTCAAGCGTTGCTCTGACTTGCAGCATTGTGATAGACTTTACCATTCACCAGACTGGAGAGGAAGCTCTTCTGCTCTCCTCACATGAGCAGCTTCTTTCTGTTCCTCTCTCTCCTTGGCAGCAGAAGCTTGCATCAAAAGGACACTGTATTAAGGAGAATAAAAGCAGAGGGTGTTAAGTCGGTTATATACTCAGTGAATGAGGCGACATAGTTACAAAGAGAAAAAAATGCAGCAGCAGAACACAAACACAAAGCTGCTGTGTTCCAGAAGCCAGCCGAAGAAAGAAAGTGCTATTTGTGAGGGAGCAGCTCTTTGAAACTTCATAGCCTGATTCAGAGCCTTTGGTGCCAGCAGAAGTCCTGCTAGCCTCCCTGAACTTTAGATCAAGCCCTTCTCAGTCTTTTACACTGTTGCACCTAACGTTAAAGAATGACGTATTTTCCCTGGAGGTTAATGCACTTAAGGAGTATTTTTAGTTACAGATAGCAAAGTTTCCTTAAAGGAAGCATTTGACAAGATGTGCAAAAAATACTGCAATAGAAGTATTCATCTTTGGGCACGTGTATCTATATTGCAGCTCATTACAGGCCTTATCTACTTATTTGAGGAAAGAATAAATGTTGATAAGCTTTATGGAACTCAAAACCACTAAAGGTTTTTGTGATTAAACCCAAAACATCATATTATGCAGCTCTTCAGCTCCATAGATTTGATCTTAAGCTTTTAAAATCAAATGAGAGAGAACTAGTGAACAGATAGTAAAGAAAATTGGACATAAAGAAGTGTGACCAGCATTAAAGGAAGTTTCTATTGAGAATCTATCAAATTCCTCCCCCCTTTTTTTTCTCATGCTATTCACTCTGTATAATACCAGCAACTGTCCAAAGCAGGCATTAAGTTGGGATCAACCACTGACACAATTTCTAATAGAAGATAACCCCTTTCTACAAGCAGGAAGCCACCAGGTGCCTCCAACACTAACATGTTTTGAAAAGAAATCCTTGTGTGCAATCAGCAAGAACACTCACAGTCACACAGTGCCTAATTCTTGCTCACACAAGTTGATTCACGTGAACAGTTGGCCCAGCTCTATATGGCTTAAATTACTCCAAGGACTTGTTTGGGAGCTGCATGTTGTGGGAAAAAAAATAAAATCAGCCCAGATGATGATTCATAGGGTGTGGATTGTTTTCATTAGGAAAGAACAAAACCCCAAAGCTAAAGAATCCTGTTTTAAAAGGAGGTTTCCATACTGAATGCAGACTCCTGCCTGGATCTGGCAGCCGTCCTGCTGGCAGAGCCAGGAATCCTGCACCTAGCAACGATACCAGTGAGGCTCCAGTGCCTGGGCACTTTATTTCCCCAAGAAAAAAGCAGAGAGGATCTGAGGGGGGAAAGCCTCTCCCAGCTATGCATTGCCAAGCACATGAGAAAGGACAGCCCAAGCCCAGGCACAAACCAGGTCTCTGTTTCAGAGTTATTTAACTGAACACTAATTGCTGAAAAGCACTGCAGGCCTTATAAAGCCTGGCAGATTTAGGCACACCTTGGAGACAGATGTCACCAGAGCACGTGTGCTGGTCTGCTGGCTTTTACTGAGTGGCCCAGTGACACGAGCAGAGTGTTTGATTATGAAAGAGCAGTATTTTAATAAAAAACTGAGGATTTGTCTTCTGGTTCAGTCCCATAAGAACCAAGACCCCCATTGGTCATAGGTGCAACAACTTGCAAAGACCTTAAAGCTACAGTTCATCAAACAAGTTGCTTTGGCTTGAAGTTGCAACAAAGGCAGCAGCTTCCTTTCCTCTCCCAGTGCTGTAGGCTTTGCCACATTCCTGCCCTTGCTTCTAAGAGATGAAGAGTTTTGCTCGTGTGAGTGCTTGCTGAAATTTCAATCACATTTTCCTTAAGAAACGGGGGAGCAAAACAGGCTACGTCCCAGCAAGCCTGGTGAACTGTTCCCAGCTAGCCTGGGCTCTCTGCCCTTTTATCCTGATGCCTCCAGCTTCCTTGCAGCTTCCTCCCCTTCTCCTGGCTGCCCGGCCGCTGCGGTCGCAGCTTCTGCTTTTGTGCAGGACTCGGTTCCCCATTGTTTTAGTGACTCTCTCACAGGGGCAAACTTTTTCCATATATGCTGATTGTCAGAGATTTGGTTCCCGTATTCCCACTTAAAAATATATTGCCTAAAGTTCAGCTGTTTCCATTATAGTTATTCCTCCTCACTTCCTGCCCTTTCTGGCCTTGGATTTTAACCATCAGACTTCAGCCAACAGTACCCTTCCAAGTTGTGACTTTAAACTCTTGAAAAGGAAGAGGCTCACCTACACACTGGGATTAATAGCTGCCTATATAATTTTTACTTGGAAAATTTATCAGACTACTAAAACTCACTTGTCCTTGCTAGAACCATAAAACTAAACCCCAAGCAAACAAGCCTCTTTTTTTCCAGTATCATTTTCCTGCAGGTGACAGGAGAAATTATTTCAAAGCTGGCTTAATTAATAAAATCCAATCAATTACTATATTATCCTGAAGAAGTAATACTTGGGAAGACATTATTAATGGAGTTTATGCCAGATTAAATTTTCAGAACCAGTCTGCCTCAACCTGATGAGTCAGTCATTAGGCATCTGAAATGGCAACATGCCTAGAAAGGCAATTTGACATTTAAAGTGATATTAACCTGCAGGTTATCATGGGTTGGAAATTTCTCCTCCTAAATGAAAGGACTGGAAATGGAACTAATGCAGACAATCAGCCCCTTCCTTACAAACTCAGATAAACATCTCAAATGAAAACACATGAATTGGGAGTGGAGGGAGAAGCTCTGAAGCATTTTCCACTTTCCTCATCAGACAGCTGGGAAAAAGAAAACATAAGAAATAGAAGGTCCTTCTGCATTTCATTCGTCCTTGGCACTGTTACAACCAGAGACTCAACAAGATCTACTTCAAACTCTTTTCCCATGTCTTTCTTCCGCTAGGAACTGGTGTTCCTTCACGCAGTCCCGGCTGGTGACATACATAGAAGCCTGCATGAAGGAGAAGTACATTGTCAACTCCCAACAGCCCTGTCCAAATGGAACCCCTGACTGCCAGAAGATCATGTAAGTATCCTAAATAAAACCACTGAAGAAAACAGAATTTTCTCTGACGTATCTAGACGATGTTTTCAACAGTGTTGAATGACACATTCTAAAAAGAACTAAAGCATCAACACAGTTTAATACTGAAGTGATGTAGGGCTGCATTTATGTACCTAAAGGTGATCAGGCATTTAAGTAACCTGGGAGAACAACTGCCTTTCCAAGCCACCAAGTACAGGACTACAAGATGATTAAGCAATTTTTCATATCTTCCCACCCGTTCAGAAAACATACAGAGACCATACCTTTTCCATGATTCTCAGGTCATAATATACACACATAACTTAAATCTCTCCGTCTGTGGCCATCAGAGACCATTTATATGGCAGGAGTCAGAACTGCAAATCCTCAGATGCTCACTGTTCTTTCACATGGTCTGGCTGCCCAAGGAGTACTAGTGAAAGCCAGTAGTGTATCTTAAGGTACATATTTGAAGCTGGGAGACACACACTTTTTTTAAGCTGGACTCACACACACTTTTAAAGTGTTAAATTATATTTAGTTATCATCTACACGCCCTCACATCTGTGTAGGTATTTGGTTGCAAAAATGCTTTTGTTATTTGCTAATACAATTAATTTCACTTTCTCTGAACAACAAAAAAAAGTTTCATCATTATGCCCAGGGGAGTTTTTAACAGATTTGTATCTTCCTTGGTGACCGTGAGGCTGACCACTGGAGCCTCTGACTGCACATACGAACGTGCACACACCTCCTGCTGTAAACAGTAATCCTGAAAAATAATCTTATGTAAGGAAAAAAAATTGCTGTGGACTGCCCATATGCTTTGCTAAGTAGCAGTGATAGAGATTATGACAAGTTTCTTAACTGCATTCTGCACTAGTCATCTCTGACACACTTGGCACCCAAGTGCCACCCGCTGACAACAACTTCCAATCTGACACCCAGCCTGTTACTCCGCAGGTACAGGACAGCTCTGAAGCCAGTCTACCAAGTGAAACAGAAGGTTTTGAAGTCTTTGCAGTGGAAATGCTGCCCTGGATTTATTGGCAAGGACTGTGAACAGCGTGGTAAGGAAAGCTAAAGAACAAATGTGAGAATGAATGACTAAATGCCAGGCACGACGGCAAAAAATAAGTTTGTCTATTTGCTTTTGCCTTTTTTTCAGAATCGGTGCCTTGTTTTATTTGGTCTGATATGCCCCAAATCACTGATACTTTGAGATAAGAAGTAGTTGTAATCATCTGAAATTAGTAGTTAATTAGCATGAGCTACGTATTCTTCTGTTAATAGCAACCTTTGTAATCTTTACACACTGAGAAAGATATTGATTTGCTAGGGGAGCCTGCCAGATGTCCATCTAGACAAGTTCATCTAGGAATACCTAATTCTAGGTAGAAACTGGTGACATCAGAAAGCTACACTAGTATGTGAAACGCCCCTGTGGTCAGTTCATAGGATGAAATTATGTGGCTCAGGAAATCACACCTCCCAGTACCCAATGGGACTGCAAGAGAGATGGAGAGGGACTTTTTACAAGGGCATGCAGTGACAGGACAAGGGGCTTCAAACTGAAAGGGAGCAGGTTTAGATTAGATATTAGGAAGAAATTCTTTATATGAAGATGATGAGGCACTGGTTGCCCAGAGAAGCTGTGGATGCCCCATCCCAGGAACTGTTCAAGGCCAGGTTGGATGGGGCTTTGAGCAACCTGGTTTAGTGGAAGGTTCCCTACTATGGTGGGAGGGTTGGAACTGGGTGGTCTTTAAGGTCCCTTCCCATCCAAACCATTCAATGACTCTCTGATCTGTGCAGCTGCTAAATAAAAGAGAGGGGAGACAGCGTGGTTTAAAAACTAAATGGTGGCTTAAAAATAGCATTGGCAGGATTTAGCAAATAAGACTTGAAAAGCAGAATTAAAACAGATTTAAGAATTTAAATGGAATTAAGGGAATTTAAATGGATAAAAGATAATTCCCTCTAGCAATTAAGGCAACCATAATAAAAAAAGGCAAACACGTGTGAAAATTTTCACGTCTAACTCACCTACAGACTCCACAGATAAAAGTCTCTGTAGGTTTTGCTTTTCTTCACAGATAGCTTTGACTTGTAGATTTATCTCTATGTGGTGCCTCAGCCTGAACTTCATTTTTAATGTTGGAAAGATACTACCAAAAGCAGTGCTTCTAGTTTAGTCTCTCTTTTGTTACACTCACTGACCAATAGCAGCTCCTCCATCATCATCTCATCAGTCACTGTTGGTGCCACCAGGACGTTCAGGTAACTGTGGAACAAGGAAGAGGAATTTGCAGATCTTTAGGTGGGACCTCCAGAAAAGAAAAAAAAAAAAAAGGCATCTATTTGCAATAGACTAATTCCTTAGGACCAATAATTTGGCATGAGTTAAAACCCCCCACGTTACTGCACAGCATTACCATGTATGCAATGTTGTAAGTCCGTGCAGGGAAAGAAAATTCTCCAGACAAGATGGTCTTTCCCCAAGAATCCTGTCTCCACATCTGTTACACTACACATGAAATTCCTCTGTGTTGTCTTGCTAAACTGTAGTAGTTTCTGCATCTAAAACATTTTCACAGTTTTATCACATCTCAATTGCAGATCCTAATTTTATTCCGGTGCCAGGAACTGAAATTGGAGGAGGAGAAGAAGAGTTCTCAAACCACAGTATGTGCTTGAAGTTATTTTGTTTGTCACCCTTTTACCTCTCAGTCACTGATCAGAAAGAACAAGTTATTTTAATCATTTTAACCTGATGAACTCTGGACAATCTCTCTAGGGAAAGCATCATTTGTGAAAGCTTTGAAACAATACGTTTATTGGCTTAAATGAGGGCTTTTGCTAGAACACTACACAAATGCTCAAGACAAAGCATCCAAAAGTTTCAAAGCTGTCTGCTGGCTGGTGATCAGTGATACCAATGGAGAATGCCAGCTGGTCCAGAGCCTTACATCTCTTGGTGCCAGGGATGTTAACCCCTTGCTCTGCCAAGTGGATTCACAGGAAAGCACACCGGGCTCACAATTCTACCAGAAAAACAACCCACTAGAAATGCTGTTTTAGAACAGCCTCCCAGTAGCTTTGAGTTTACTGTTATGAGGTACCAAAGATTTGCATCTCAGGCACTTCAACCTACCAATCTGAGTACCAAGGACTGTCCCTTACCACCTGGGAAATGGTGTGGCTTGCAGTGCTATTAAGTATCTTTTAGCAATTAGCCACAGCATAGTACTGCAGCTCTGAAAGAGTTTTCTTTACATTATGCTCTCAGCACTGAACGAATAAGCAGCTGGTTTGCACAACTGAATTATATAAAACAAGAGATTTAAAGGTCAAAGGTAACCTTGGAGGGTAAGAAGCCCTTGGGATAGCACAGTTTGAACACCCCAGTTTCAGCAGCTCTCAGTGTATACTTTGAAACCTACAGCTGAAATTCACGGGTACTTATTTAGAACAACATTAGTTAAAGGGCCCCTCCATGAGTCAGCTCTGACGCTTACACGCTGTGCTTCTGATTCCTCAGTGGAATGCCTCAATTGCTCTTTCATCCTCTCCTTTTATTCTGGATTGTTAAACCTTGCTATCTTTTCAGTCAATGGCTTGAAAGGAGTTAGTATTCCAAAAAATTTTTATGGTATGGGGATGTTTCTAATTAAAGAGTATTTTATTGCCATCATGGCTATTGTGGCTGAAGTTCTTTGCAGATATTTAAATACATTACGTTTTCATCACTGTCAAAATATTCTTTGCAAAGAAACTACAATTTAAGGTGCCGCAAACCAACACACCCCCTAAATGTCAGCGTAAAATTTTCAGAGCAAAAAGTAGACAGGTGTTCTCAGAGGTGTGGTATGAATACCTGTCGCCTGGTCGCTGCACTCCGTTGCATGACTTTGTTTTTTCAATCTTGTGACTAGTGTCAACATCAGTGGATTCCAGAGAAATGTTCGAAGTCATTCAAAATCATGAGGCTTTACTGGATGATCTTCAAAGTGATATTCATCAAGCAGTCAGCAACTTAGGTGACTTACAGAGGCTATTTGAGAACAACGGTACGAGCATGGTGTTAGAAGTGAACCAGAGCAATTCAGGTGAGAGGTCTGATGCAGAATTACCAGCCTGAGATAGGCCCTGTGGAACCACGCAGACCAGGAAGAAAACGTGAAAGCAAAGATACCCTGATATTCCTTGGTCTGCTGGTTGCTTCTAGAGAGAGAAAAAATGGGTGCAATCCCAGTGCAAATGAAGGAACCCAAGAGTAACTTGAAATGGGAAATGTGATAGAAGGCAAATTTCAGAATATGCCTTAACTGAAGAATAAAGAGGTTGCTCACATTTAAAATTTGTTCATCTTACTATTCTGCTTCTGTGGCTTCTTCTATAGGGATACAGAGTTTAGATGTGGTTTTTGTTCTTTTTCTGTACTCATGCTATATACTCTCCTGTGTGGAATATCAGACTGGTTTATACAAAAAAATGAAACATTTTACCCTTCTCAGGAACATTATTCCTGCCCTATACAGGAGTGGGGGAAAAAAAAAAGCTACTGAATTTGACCTACTGTTGTGAGCCACTGGCTTACAGAAATGTTTTCTAATGATACAGACTACTGTGCTCAGTGAACTTCAAAGGCACTCAAGTTTGAATTTTAATGTTAGAAATCAAGCCTTAGTATAAGTCACACCTAGTACAGATATTTCAGATTTTTCAAGTTATTTACTCATGGCCTGGAATATTCAGCTGTTAAGATGCTGTCTAACTTTGTGAAGCATCAGAAAAAGAACAACATTAGGACACAGTGAAAAAAGGAAGGGCTCACCAACTAAGAACGGTTGGGAAAAAGGACAGTTATGGCCCCTTGCAAAACTGCCTGTCTAAGGGTTTCAAAAAGCATCATTTTTAAGACCTAAATGGGGAAATCAACACGTCTAAGTTGTTGTCAGCAGACTCATAGACACCATGTGCTTTACAGTAACTTTGATTTAAAACTAGGCTATTTTTGCAATTGTCAAAATTGTCAATATCATGAGTTCAAATATCTGGGAAGTAAGATGGCAACTACTATGGAGAAATGCATACTTGAGTTACTCTGGTTAGATAAAGTTGCGTTCCAAAACCAGAATTTAAATCTAATTAAATTATTTTTTTCAACTGTGTTAACAGATCCTCAGGAAAGGCTTCTGCAGCAAGTTTTGTTTCCCCACGTGGAGAATTTTCTAAGGAAACATTTTAACCCGATGTGGGCAAGCTTCAACAGGAGCTTACAGAACCTCTCCAACATAGTAAGAAACCTGTCCCATGATGTGGAAGCCAACAAGAGAAGCATAGAAAGATTCCGAGAGAGCTCTGTGCCCAAGAAGGAATTCCAGGAGCTGGGAACTAAATTTGAATCAAAAGTCCAAGAAAACATAGTGAGAGCTGATCAGGTGAAAAGAGATATAGAGAACCAACTGCACATGCAACAGGCCAACATTCACTACAATCTCAGCATGATCAAGGCAGATACTGACACAAAGCTCAAGAAGTTTCATAAGATACAGCAGTCCCATTTCTTAGCTTTGAACAACAGCATAGCAAAGGTGAAACAAGACCAAAACAACCTTGAAAATAAACTGGAGACTTTGGAAAGAAATTTAACAGAACTCTCTTTGCATCATGGTCCCAAAGATGAAAACAGCCAGACAACCATCAGACAAATAAATGACATTCTGGCAGGGCATGCAAAGCAGCTTAAAGAACTTTACATGGAGTCAGATGTGGCCTTTCAGAATATTGCAATTTTAGAGAGGTGGTTTAAGGAGTTAAAAAAAAATATCTCGAAGTATAGGCCAGAAGATCTTACAATAACTTTAACTGAGAAATCAGTTATTATGGAAGAAAACAATGCAGCAATGGAAAGGCAAATATCAGAGTTCAACTACACTCTGTCAAACCTTCAGGAAAACTATTCAGATCTGTTGAGGTACATGGAGGAATGTAATTGCCAGAGAATATCTTCTGACACTGATGTACTCGAGGAAGATTCAAAGAATATCACTTATTCCCTTGAAGACACGCAATCAAATTTAAAGGATATGAAGCACTTAGAGTCAGTTCTCAGAGATCTCTTGAGGAATGAAATTGAAGAGCTCTCCTCAGCTATCCCATCTATCCATCTGTCTCTTAGTCTCCGTCAAGAAGAGAACAGACAGCTCCAGTCACAAGTCACAGCTTTGTCAGAAGACATAGGCTCGATGAAGAAGAAAGATGAAGAAATTCATAGACACATCAAGTATCTCAACAGTTCTTTTGGCTCTCTTTTGGAAGATGCCATGCGGCATGAAGTAGCACTGGAGGCTTTACTGAAAGAAGAATTTGTAGATGTCTTGTTTGAAGACGATTTTAGCATCCTAATACCGTCAGTATTTGAGCTGCAAGAATCTCTCAGACATATCTCAGATAAACTCCAGGAACAAAACGTGACTTTAGAGTCTCTTACAAGGAGATCTCATCTCTCAGAGAGAGGTCAACAGAATAATCCTGATGCTCGTACACCTCCCAACCACCCCAGAGAAGAAACACAAACGCCCTCTACTCTAGACGAAGTCAGCAGCCAAGGCAGCATCAGAGAGCACATGGAACCCAACTACGAGGCTGCCAAAGACGACTCCTTGGACAGCTCGGCTTATAACGATATCATGACTCTGAAGAATGATATCAAACACCTGAGCCTGGCAATCAAGAGTCGTGAATCCAGAAGTGACGCGAATCTCTGCTGCAATCACACGATAGCAAATGTAATCGAGCCCCTCAACAGTTCTGTGGGGATTCTCTCCGCAGATTTAGCAACCATCAAGCGGCATCTGGACGAACATCTGCTGATTTTTAAAAAGCTATTTGGAAGTAATGAAGAATTAGTTGCCTCAAAGATAAGTCTGGATGTTACAAAGATTCAGTCAATGCTGAACAGAAAAGAGGGAAGGCAACAGAAAGGTCAAGACAAGCAAAGAGACAAGAAAAGGCCTGAGAAGCACAGAGAAAATATGCAAGCGATAAGTGGAAGAAATACAGTGCACACAGAACTTTTGGAAAAAGGTATGTTCTTTTCTTTCACTTGCTTATGTGCAGGTCTAATTTCTTTCAGGACCCTGCTGCAAGTTCCAAACACAGAACATATTAGTTATGAGATCTGCCAGGTATCTTGTGGGATGCTGGAGGGAGAAGTTCTGACATTAGTTAAGTCCTCCCCCTCCATCAAAAAAAGCAGTTTGAGTGAGAACCGAGTTGATACTCTGCTGCATTTTGCTGGAGGCCAATAAAATTATACCCATTACAGCTGCTGGGAAATGGACTTCGAACTAATCCAACTTCAGATGTTTAGAAGACCAATTTTGTCTGTAGATGTTCATGTTAATGCAGTAGCATTTTTGTAAGCTGCTGTGGAGTGTTAGGCTTTCTGGTCTTGCTTCTTTTTCCTGTTATTTGAATCTGGAAGGAGTGTACTCAAAGCACCAAATCCTTCCCAAGGTGGACAGATACATTAAATGAACTGCTATAATTTGCACAAGTGAAACAGGGCAGACTGACCAGAGAGCACACACTCTCTCTTACAACTAAGCTTCAGAGACAAGTTTTCAGCTTATACTTCACTGGGACTGGCCAGTTCCCTTTCCCTGTAAACAGGTGGCCATAAGGACCTGGTAATTACAACCACCACAGCTTCAGCATTGGTTTTTATGATTGTAGCCCTTGTTATGGACAAATAACAGAGCAAAAATCATCCCCTTCAGGCATCTGTGCTGCAAAACTTTGGTCAAGACTGAATAAGCAAAGAACATATTTTTAACTAATTTATTTTTAGGACAGTAAAAAGTGCTACTTTTTTTTTTTTTTTCCTCTGGGTGGTCTTAACCTTATACTTTTCCAAGAGCAGTGGTTCAGGTATTTCCAGGGAACCATTTGATCTAATCCCACACACATACCCATTTCAAGCATTTAGCTCTGCAAGGAAGCACACAAAAATCAGGCCTGACAGGGCTTCACCTTATCTCCCATCCTGATGACCCTGGGGAGAGAATACCTGCTTGCTGCTAAAATCCTTTTCCTCTTTCTTTTTCAGACTCCTTGGTGGCATTCCACGTGGGATTCTCAGAAGGAAAGGATAAAGAAAAACCTGTGAGGTTTAATGAAACATACTTTAATTATGGGAACAGCTATTTCCCTGAGCATGGCCACTTTAAAGCACCACATAAAGGCATCTACCTGTTTGTCATCTCTGTGGAGTTTAGTTCAGGACCAGCACTGGGACAACTCTCCTTTAGCCGTGGGTACAAAAGAACTCTCTCAAGTAGTCAGAGGAAAACACCAAATGGAAACACCGTGACTACTTTTGCTATGGCAGAAATGGAGAAGGGGGAGACAGTGAGCTTTGAATTGCTGCAGGGCTCTGTAGTGAAGAGAAGTCCACCTGGGACAACTATGGGTGGATTCCTAATATCTAAAACTTGAATAGTGACATTTATGTTTTACTGATCTCTTTCCATAGATGCAATGGATCCACTCACTATTGCTTCATCTGTGATGTATTCAATCCTACTGCATGTGTTTAAACATAGCACTACCCTAGGTTTGTCTTCATGCTTCTTTTCTGGAAGTGTTTGGCTTTTGATTAGTTGCTTATGAGCAGCAATGGGATTTTCTTTCAAGTGAAAAGCTAATGGTTTGGACTCCAAATGTATCAGCACACACATTCCCAAACCCTTCCACTGCGAGAATTGCACCTAAATGTTTTGTGGGACTTTCTTCCCTTATAATGCATGTAATTTCTCCTTTCCCTTGGCAAATACCCCCACCACTGGCAAGGAAGACATTTTTAGAGAGGACTGCATATAGCAACTCTGGTACTATGTGAATGGTACCTCAAAACCCAGAAGCCAGGGCAATTTTACCTTTTAGTTCTCTATGGACCACAGGCAGTCACAGACTATCTTGGAAACTTCTGCAACTCACTCCAGTGTTTAAGTCTGTGCACAACAGGAACACCAGTAGAGATCTGTCAAATCCAGTAAGATTCACTCTCTGCTAATATTTGCAAGCAAGAATATTCTAAATGGCCCAATCTTTGTTTCTGGGCCTGTGTTGTATTTCAACTACACTGCAAACATTTAACAGTAATATAACATTAAGATGAATTACATCTTAATAATTTTAAAATATTGGTGAAAACGCAGTTTATTTCTAAAGATAATCCTGAAGACAATCATGAATTCAGCCCAGAGTCCTGCATTGAGTAAGTATTTTTAAACCAAACAAGCAAGCAAACAAAACCAACAACAAAAAGGCAAGGTGATTGGTCTGCTCTCATTGTTGAATATACATTTATAATAAGAGTAAACCAAGGAGTAGAATTTTTGAACCTTGGGATTTTTTTTTTAATTTCCAAAAATCTCAAAATGACCATGTCTGGTCATGTCCTAAGCTTTTCTTCTGACAAATAAAGCATCCCAAAGATCTTCATTGTAAAGAAGTTCAAGTATTGTAGTATTTTTCTTTGTTTACCCTAACACCTTACAAAGCAATATTAAAGCAATTAAATTTGCCAAATCGAAATGCACTTTGAAATTGCAAGTATTTTTGAGGAAGAGGTAATTTGTGCCCTTTTAAGGTAGCATTTTCTAACAGAAATCTATCCTGCTGTTAAGGGCTTTTCTCCCCACCTACTTGTATTCAAACCAACGCTAAACTACAAAATTTTTAAAAAACCCAACCCATTGGTACCAACACATGTTGCACTTTGGGCAACAGTTTGACAAGCAGACAACACATATCTTCTGAAATAAAACTACAAAACAGTTTCAGTTGGTGAGAAGATTGCTACTCTCCATCCTGAAAAATCCAACAGAGCAAACAATGAAAAATTCTCCCCCATCTCCTCCTGGCCAATGCTGATTTCCACATGAGATTAACAGGCCAAGTGTCCCAGTTTATCTGGCACAGAGCCACATTTCACACTGCTCTGCAGCAGGCAGCACACACTGCCTGCAAGCTCAGGGTCATCTTCTGTCCCACAGATTGTTCAGGTATCTGAGGGAAGGAAGAGAAGAAAAAAACGTAAACAGTGAAATGTCAGAACTGAAGGGCAGCATCAAACTGTAAGACTGGGTTCTTTCAGTACAAAGCTACTATACTGGGGTGACCCAGATGTTTTTTTTACCAGTGCTCCTCCAATTACAGACGGTTCCACAGTTAAATACAGATGAGGGATATGCAGATATTTAAAAACACTGCTTGTTTTTAAAGCTTTGGCAGAAAGCTTCAACTGGAATGAAACCCATACCATAGCTACTTGGAAAAGGACATGGCAGGTAGTAGACAGGACTTGTAAAGGTTTGGTGTCCTTGTACCTTACCAGAGTTTACTTTTGTTTAAGAATACACAAGGTGAGTTCAGAGATCACTGACCTCAGAGTGAAAAAAATGTTAATATAAAGATGTTTTCATATTTGTATTCTTCAAATATGTGCTTAAGTTAGTCACTTGCATATACAAAGAAGACACACTTGACTGGAAGACTCATTTTCAGACTCTTAAGTGAAAAATTAATGAAAGTTAAAACACTACTGGTTGCATAAGCCAGGAAGACTGACTTCCTTGTCAAGCAACAAGATCATTAAGCTACTGAGCTGTGGTTGTGTTTTTTTTTGAAGTAATACACCAGATTTTTCATAAACTTCCACCTAAACCACTTCTTGCATTTTTGGGGGGGTGGTGGTTTGGTTTTTTTCCCGTAAGATTAACACAGCCACATCACCATGACCTGCAGTTCTAGGCAACGGACTAGAGGAATCAATTTAATGAAGATAATTTAAAACATAGCTATTGGTTGGCTCAGTGGATTAACAGGGCAATTTCCAAACACAAAAAACAACCTGAAGCTGACCATAGGCATTAGAAAAAGAGTTGCCTGTAAAAGCAGACAAGTTGCTTAAGTTTCTCTCGGAGGAGAGCAACCAGACTAACATGCCTGATGGCCACATGTGTGCTCACTCCAAAATACAGATACATGTACTGTCAATCTGAGCCTCATAGTTAAAAATAAAAGCTTCCAACTGCTTTTAGTACTTCCTAGAAATCTGCCAGAAAACATTGCCAATACTTCAAGTTCCTGAATTTCCAGATCAAACCACTAAGCTTTGTAATAAGCTAGAAAGTTGTGCATCTTAATGCCTTCATGGAATTATTTTGTTACTGAAACTTCTGCTGCTTTATGAATGTCAGTATCTTATAGTACTTCACATTTTAAAGTCTCCTCATGTTTTTTTCTTTTCCATTACTAAGATGACCCCCTTACTTTACTCAAAATCCAACTACTGATTGTATCGTATAGAAACAATTTTACTTTCTATAGATCCATCAGCGCCTGAATTCTACAGTCAGATTCATGTGAACTCTTTCAGACACGCACATCAAGCCAGTCTCTGAAGACCATGGAGGTCACCCCTCATGAACCAGCCTCAGGACGTGGTCAGCCCACAGTAGTGGTCCTCTCACAGCTCAGATTCACAGCTGATGTGAACTTAATGCATTGACACCACTGAGAAAGACCAAAGTGGTGTTTCGGGAAAAGCTGAAGATAAAGCTGCAGAAGGGATTAAGGAAATCAATGGAATTATATCTGATCCTATATTAAATTAGTGATACTTCTCCAATTTATTTGAAAGCCTGTGATTCAATTCACTAACTACTCAGTTTGCTTTTTGGCTTGCACACAAATATACATGTGGGGTGTTTAGACGTCACTAAATAGAGTTGTTTCAGTTCTTAGATACTGATGCAAGCTCATTAGCAACATATTTTTATAAAGAGGTCAAAAATACCTATACATAAAGGATAACGTTTTGATCTTTATTATTAGCAGGCAGTAGAACTTATTTTCACTCTCCAATTTTTTCCAAAGGCTCTTCCTGTCTTTAGGATACAGCATCACCCTGTGGTCGTCTCACGAAACAACACTGGGGAGGAAAAACTGCTCGTTAAAGACAGGTGCACATAGTTATCCTCCCTCTTTTCATTACATCCTCCTGTAACACCAACGTAAAAATCCCAGTTTTAAATCCAACCACGATCAGTGTAATCAGTGAAGACATTCCACAAGCGACAGAACAGCCACAACGGTAGGAAAAAGGGTTACTGTGCCAAGATGCTAACTACAAGGAGACCAAAACTTTGTGCAGTCTAATTTCCTGGTATTAAGGAAAAAAAGGTTTGAAACTACATAGGCTAGTCTTCCACTGTACTTTCCAGAACTCTACTGCAAGATTTTAACACTTCATGGTACAGGGGGAACAAATAAGGTTTATAATTATCTTTATAATATACTGATATCAGTTTATAATATGTTCAGATAACAAAACTTTCTAGCTAATGTAAAAAAACATATTTAAATCTCCTGATTAAAGGCAAAAAGAGAACAGGAATTGATCTTACTTCTTTTCTCCTTGCAAACTAAAATTGAACTCTACAGAGAGTAGAAGCCGATACGTTTCTGCAACGAGAAAACAAATTCTGACACTTTATATAATTGTGTACTCACAGGTGAGATATCCCCTTGAATGGTCTTCATTTGCTTGAATCATATAAACCAGAGTAAATTTAGCAGGCTATACAGAAGGACCTGCATAATTTTGCAATCAATAGTACGTAAGTATATTAAGCTCAAATCTCTCAAGCTGTGTATTACTACACAAAAAGAATGTTGTACGCAGAGGGAACAAAAAGCCATCATATAATCCCCCCCTCCCTTTGTTTTTTTCTCTTTTTACTTGATGAGCTTGAGGAAAATTTATATGGATAAAACCAACATGTAGTGAACTTGCATATGTTCAAATAAAAGTATTATTTGACTTGCTTCCGGCTTTGCTGTAAGACAGGGATAAAAATCAGGAGAAGGAAACACTGGTTTTACTGTTGCACCCAAATTTAGTGCAAGGAATAAAGAGCCTGAACTTATAAAGCACCAAATAATTCTGAACATCACTGAACAATGAAAGTGATCATTAACAACTTATTCAAAGGCTGGGGGAAAAAACCAAACCATAAACGAGGTGTTAAAAAGTAGGGAATTATTTAGTTACAGTATTATGATTTCCAAGTCATTACATTTTTAAGGCAAAATCTTATAGTAACAAAACACATTACTAATGTGTACTAAAATAAGGTTATTTACTTAAAAATGATACATTGGACATAATCTGTGTACAGAACAAGCAATTCATGGTAAACTCAATAAGGCACCTTCTAAAGCAGATGCTGTACAAAATACATTAGTGTGTTACATTTTTATAGTATTCTACACTTCTGGCATATAACACACACAAGAGTGTGACCATTTGTCTCGTTCCACTCTTCTTTCATAGTTTATTTACATCTTCTCTAGGTTAACTACAATGTTATTTTTTCTTCTTTGTATACAATATAGTACATTTCATTTTGGGCATGTCATGTCAGAGCACAAACGTCACTACGTGATGTGGGTGGGCTTCTATAATTGCATTCAACGGCAGAACATTACAAAGCAACAATTACATTAGATTTGTCAAAAAAATCAGAAGTTATGTGCACTCCACTTCTGCTGTACAACCAAGGCTAGCACACCATGGCTCCATAAAGCACCATATCGTGCAACACTGCCAGCTGCTTTTCCACATCACCCCTACTTGGAATAAAGACTGTGGGCACAGGATAAAGACTTTTGACTCAGAGGCACTGTCAGGAGAATGAGGAAGGGCTAAATCATTCGAATATTTCACGGAAAATGAGCACGTAACTTCCCTTTAAAAATATCTGCAATAGCAAAAGAATGTTTTTTAACTTTATATCTCTGCTTTTCAAACATTTTAGACCACTAAAATACAGTCTGTGAAGATAAAGTAGACAAAAATGTATCCAAATGATTTGTTTTATAAACACATTCAAATGGTCATTCAAATCAAGATCTGAAATTTTATTCTAGACTACTATGGAGGTAACTTAAAATATTGATTTTACATTTTATTCAAGACCTCAAAAAACACTGACTAAGAAAATAATTGGGGAAAAGTGAAGGATATTGGGAAAGCTGTATGTTTCTTGAGGAAAATTTACATTAAGTGAAACTCAGAATAAACTGAAAATGTAAGCCCACATTTTTCTGCAGGAATATCATGTTTCTTGTGGAATTTAGAAGTTAACCAGGGACACCAAAAAATTTCCTTTCAGTTGCTGTAACAATAAGAATTATATAAGTGACTCAAAATATTTTCCATCTAACTGAAATCACATGGAGCAAGTTAAATAAACACAAAAAATCCCTCCATATGAGTGTTTAAGAACTTCCAAGGCACAGTCTTGATAGTCCCCAAGATATTTTCCACCCACTTGATATTTGCATTAAAAAAAAGAAAGAAGTCACCTTTGCCTGTTCTGGAGGACATTTCTTTGGATGACAAATGCTTACAATATTGACCAAGAACATGAGATTAATCACAGTCCAATAGATGAATCCTATTACCCTCCCTGACCTTAAAGGCTTCTGAACTCAACAGCATTGCATGAAGGAACAATTTACCTTTAGAGTCTGCACTAATTGTGCTTAATTACGTAAAAATTAATGGGCTAGCTTTGAGCATATTTTTTTTTCCCCAAATGATTGTTAAAATATCCATACAGACACACTTAGGCTCCAAACAGTGAATGACTTTGCACAGAACACAGGTATGTGCTCAAGTGCTTTATGCAACCACATACTTTAGTGTTAACATTTTGTTGGGTATCAGGGAATCAAGGAAGCTCCTGTTCAGGACCATAAAAATGACATATGTGTGACACTTTTGAGTATGAACCTCGTAACTGAAGTGCTGAAAAATTATGTTTAAGGCAAAAAGATTTTTTTCTCTCAAAAAAACCACCTTTGCAACAGTTGGCTAACTTGACATCAATGTGTAAATCAGCTTAGGTCCTAAGATGTCTAACCAAAGATCACCATCCTATTGCCTTGCAAATGCCTAAACAATGGCAAAGAAAACAAGGGGGAAATTATAAACTGTTGAAATTCATGCTTCCAGCAGGGGCTTCCTGAAGACTTGGGAAAAACGAACTAAAAGAATACACAAAACAAGTTTACAGCTAATAACAACGTGGCAACTCCTAAAAGAAGTAACAATATTTTAAATAGGAACGGGTTATTTTAAACAGACCTCCATGCTTTGAAAGTTTAAGCTAGCAGGGTACCTACAAAATCATTTTTTCCTTCTTATTGATAAAAATCCTAGGGAAGGAAAAAAAAAAAAAGCCTACCCTTACTTTATTTGGCTTATACCAAACATTTTCCATCTACCTGTGCAAAAATTATGTGCGAAGACATGATTCACAATTTCAAAATCATCATCTATTTCTTGGCAATGGACGGAGAAACTTTTTTTTTTAAAAGCCCTTTATCATGAGGATTGTGGCACATTATCATATATCTCTTGCTGTTTTCAAATAAGTTAAAACCATAGTTGACACACCTATGAACTTCTCAGCCAGAATACATATTAATACTTAAAGGCATTACTAAACAAAAGTAATGACTTTATTAAAAAAAAAAAAAAAGAAATGTCCCTCGAAATAGCTAGTTTTCTATAAAATATGTAGAACTGTTAAATAAAGTCTGTACATCACAATAGAAAATAAAAATACTGCAATCTTTTGCCTGACCATTTACATTACGGGAACTACAGGATTAAAACAACAAAAAGTAACATGCTAGAAGGTTGTAATTGTTCACAAATCACATTAGTTCTGCATTACATTGCTTTCCATCAGTTGTATTTTCAAGGGAAATTTAAACACATATCAAAACAATCTCCGTGTACATATTTTAAGACAACAAATAATCTGGCATAAATCAATCTGAAGTTTTAACATTTTTTCATCAATTTTAGTATTATTCTCAACTTTTTTCTTCAAATCTCGACTATGGCATGTGTGTGTGTGTGTGCATGTATCTAATTGTACACATGTACCTAGAACTAGGTTTTTGTTGGCTTTTTTTTTTTACTAAAGCACAAAACACACTGTATAAATAACTTCCCTTTTTAAAGTTACCAAGAACAAGACTTACAGTACAAAGTTATAGGCACTTGAATTATCAAATAGATTCAATGGTTCCAATACTGTGTGTTCATTCTTCAGATGATTCATGCATTTGAAGCTTCAGCTTGAGTTATGGTACTACTTTCTAACTTCAAAGTAGAAGTGCCAAAGGAGTTATAAATCCATAATTCTGCCTTACAGTAACCTCATGGAGGGTTCTGGCTTTTAATCAACTTGTGTGGGTCAGTGACAAAAAGGAGGGAACTACAGTTTCCTGTGCAGGCCAAATAGTTGGCACAATAAGACCAAATTTTGCAGTTATGCAACTTACTGTATGAATTCATTTCAAAGCCATTTCTCCCAAATGTCCTTAACTAGAACTTAAAACATCAATTGATTTACCTTGTTTCAAATCTTGACTTTTGTAACTGTGCACTAAGTGGCCCACAGATGTGGCCTCCTGTGTTTAACCTCAGGGCAAGCAGCTCAAAATCTTCTGCACCTTGTGGATCTTCAAGAGTTCATGTATTCAGTTCTCCTGGTCCTGACCTTTACTGTATTCTCTAGTCTTCTGAGCACCCAGTGCTTCCTGCCT